AGCATACTGAGAACCCACCTGCACCAGCCCACACCATGTCCTGAAGGCATCAAGGGCTGAGCTGTAGCAGCATCTGACTCAGGTCTGGGCTGGCTGACTCTGGGGCTGACAGTGGGAGGCCAGAGTCCAGCCACAGCTGGTTCCCACCAATTGTAACTAGCCCACCTCCCAGAGCAGTCCAGGCCCCACACACTCACCATTTCCTGCCTTCTGGGGAGTCCTGACATCCTCCCTGGGATCTCATAGCACCTGCAGGTCACAGGGAGATAAATCTAAGCCAGAGTCACTTGGGCCTTACACAGCAGAGAAGATACAGTCCTGGAGATGGATTCTGAGCTGCATAGAGTGAGAGATGAAGGCCTCTGACTGTGGAAGGCCACCTCCTCCCAACAGCTGCCTGCTGACTGCCCAGGGTGCCACAAGACCCCTGCATACTCCAGCCCACATACATACCCTTTGGGACCCTAAGTGACAGGAGATGTATCAGACTCCTGGATAAATGAGGCCAAAAAGACATGGTCTTGGCAAAAGCACTTTTCAGACAGGGTGTCCTCCCTGCAAGGGGTCCTGGCCCACCAGGGGAACATTTCTACTTAGGCAGAACTGTCTTCCTGCCTTTCTGGGTACAGAGTCACAAGCCTGTATGAGGAATTACAGCCTTGGTGTCCAATGCAGCAGACCCTGACCTCAGAGATGGTAAGTGCCAGGTCAGGCCTTACTGAAAAGGAGGGGACAGGCATCCATCACTTTAGAAGAGGCCGGTGCTATATGACCAAGGCCTCCAAACATTTTACCTCTCAGTCAACTCATTTTCAGTCAAAAAAAATAAAAGTATAATCAGGAAATACAATTATTAAATGCATGAAAAACTAATTATATGGTAATAATAGAAAGAATTCAATAAAAGGAAAAGCAAACACTTTAAGGCACCCGCTTCTCCCACAGTTCAGAATAAAAACCAACTTGTAGACGGGTAAACACATTCCCAAGTTGGGAGCCACAGTCTGACTGCTAAAATGTGGCCCCAGGAGGGCTCAATCCCTGCTAGCCAGGAGGGGACATGTAAGAATTTACCTCTCGGAACTCCCTATACCCCTTGTCCTTTAGGTTTTCTTAATAAGATAAATTTAAAAGAAAGAGAATAATATAGTCACATCTATTAAAAAACGGCCTCTCCATCAAATTGCAAGAGGGGGCAAGAAGGCTGCCCTACCTCAGGGCACATGTCTGCAATCTTTACAAAGAGAAATAAATTCATGTACAGAAAATATTAAAAGAAAGAAGAAACAACCTCACAAATGAACTAAACATGAGAAAATGAGTGAAAACCATTTATAAGAACATGGAAATACACAGAAAAATGTTCATGCAAATGGTATTCAGTGAAAAGCTATATCTAGTCACACAAAGTAAACACAGGTAGACAAGCAAGAGGGATAAACACACATGGATGAATGGCCAGAGAGCTGTTCCACACACTGCACTGCAATTTATCCATAACCACTATTTTCCAATGTGTACATACTTATGAAGTGGGTCAACTTGGGGACCAAATTTAAAAATAGAATAAAATTGTAAAGAACATAAAAATTTATCTGGAAACAGGTGAGGTTCTGGAAGAAGGAACATGGGAGGGACCTGGGAGACCCACGGCCTCAGACAGCAAAAGGAGTCTAGCCAACTGAAGCAAAGAACCCACACAATGCTCGTTATAGCACCTCAGTGGTAGAGCACTAATGGTAACATTCAGTTACTGAAAACTCAAATAAGACAAAAACAAATAAAATTCTGCTTCCTCACAGCTGGTTAAAATACAAGGAATGACAGAAGGAACTGGCACTGTACTACCTCTCTGCACAGGTAAGGGGAGCAGGGAGAGAGAGAGAGAGGGAGCCTGCCCAGGCCACCTCATCCCTATTTGGACAGGGATATATGGGTTTACAGATTCTTACTAAACTAAGCATTAAAAAATTATTTCAAGAATTCTCTGTTCCTTTTTACATCAAATTACTCTATGCAAATAGTTGTTAACCAATACCATAAAAATCTTTGATTCAATGAAGGAATGAAATTCTTTGCTGGGCACAGTGGAGCATTCCTGTTATCCATTTAAATTTAATATTTCAACAGGAAAATCCAGGTACTCCTTTTCAGAAAATAAACATGTTATTTAATTGCTATATCCCAGATAATATTTGGTAATCATTCATCATATGTGACTTCTATTAGGAATTCCTAGTTCTGTCAACAGAATCAGTGTTAAAACATTCACCTGCAGTTCACAGGGTACAGAACAGACCCATCCACTTCCAAAGCCCTGCAAACTACAGAGCTGATGTTTTGGTGAATTTCTGTAATGAACCAATTCATCTATCACAATGAATTGGGTTAATGTACTCACTTTTTGCAACCATATTGGAAGAAATCTTCCCTGTTTCTTTTCCTAGGTAGCATTCTCAAAGCCAAGCCCTGGAATTCTATTTTAAACCACTCTCCCACCCCCACTTTCCCATAAAGAACACATCTGAAAGGAGAAAAGGGGTACTGTGCAGGCCTGTAATCACAGTGACTCCGGAGGATGATACAGAAGAAATAAGTTCAAAACCAGCCTCAGCAACTTAACAAGGCCCTTTTCAACTTAGTGAGGTTGAATCTTTGTAATAAAGAAACCAACATCTCTACCACACTTTCTTCTGGGGCATTCATATCTGCAGCCACACTGAAACATAGGTTTTCCCTTTTTCTATTCCCAGGTAGCATTCCTAAAGCAAAGTCCTAGAATTCTATTTTAAATTAGCAATACCGCTCCCCTCCTCCCCACAAAAAAAGAAGGCATCTGAGAAAGTCGGTAAACTTACTATTGAGAAGAAAAAGATAAATAAGTATTTTTAACTAAGGGAATATAAGGCCAAGTGTTTCTTTCTTTTCAGTTTCTAGCCTTCTTTTTTTCCCCCCTGACTTGTATCTCTATCTTACCCTTTAGGGATATTTTCTAATCAGCTCTACTAATAAACTACACTTTATAGTTCATGAAAAACTGACACTAATACCTGAGCCAGTCTTTCCAAGGCAACAAACCCGGGGAGCTATAGCACCACTGGACACTGACCTGTCAGACTCCAGCTTCAGGTCAGGCCATCTGTCACCAGGCACATCCTCCCAACCCCTCCTGCTGCTGAAGAGCTTTGTAGGGCTTTGCTCCACCTTGCTGGGGTCAGTTTCCCCTGCTCTTTAAGATAACTGTTCTTCCTTCAAAGCTCTGAGCACATCCAGAGGGCAGGAACCATGTGTGTCATGTTCCCTCAACACCAGCATCTCACTGCCTGACCTGGGTATCTCCAGCTGCTTCCCTGGGAGGCTGCTCCCCACACCTCAGGCTGTCCTCTAGGAGGAGCTGATGCAGAGCTTAAAATTGCCTGCACCCTGCAGGACACAGGGAAGCTTAGGGCAACTTGCAGCAGCCCCAGGAAAAGACAGAACAATGACTGAGGACACAGGACCCTGTTCAATGTCCTAAGAACTCACTGCACAGGTATCTGGGTCTGGGCAAGATGAAGAGAGGAATAAGTACTTTTTAAACTCAACTTCCAGGTCATTCCTTTCCGCATTCCACTCCTGGGAAATGTTTGTGCATGTTAAAAAAGAAATAAAATAAAATGTTTTTTTTTTAATATCATTCATTAATAAGTGAAACTACCACAATTAAAACACTGTCTATTTGAATGTAGACTGGAACAAATGGTTGGCAAAATGTGAACTGGAGGGTGCAGTTGGCATCTGGGAATGAGGGAGGGAACTAGAATTTCAGGTGTCTCCTGCTAGCCTTAGGAGGAGCCAGGTTCCAGAATGGAAAATGGATTTGATACCGTTTCCTGCACATTTAGGAGTATGTGTCTGTAGGATTCATAATCCTGGGGAGAAAAGAGGGACAGACGGGGACCCCTAAGGCCAAATGTCACAATCAGAACACACCTGGGTCCAGAACCCTGATCCTCCCCTGCTCACCACGCACTCTGGGGGCATCAGGCCACATAAGCTGCCCAGATCTGAACCAGGGAGGTCGCCAACAGGGAGGAGAAAAGAGGGCAGGGACCTGCTGCCCAGCTTACCCATGGGACAGGGGCCCAGGGCGACCCGCCAGAGAGGACTCGGCCATGCTCTGCAGCTGACCTGGGGAACCTGCCTCCCAACGCACCCAGCGGGAGGGACCAAGGGCCAAAGTCAAGGGCCACCCGCCAGAGGGGACTCGGTAATACACAGTGCAGCTGACCTCGGAGACCCGGCATCTACCACCCCCGCCGCGGGACAAGGGGACAGGGTCCAGGGCCACCCGCCGGTAGGGACTCTTCCCAAACTCCGCAGCTCACATGCACTCGGGTCCCCAAGGCAGGTGATGACCGGGTCCCGCCAGTCCTGGCCGCACGCTCGGCATGACTCACCGACCTCCTGAGGATCTCCCGGTACCCGAGCTGGTGAGGACTCCGGCTATGCAGGGTCACCTGGGGATCCCGTTAGAAGACTCCGGAGCAGTAGAAGAGGCGCTCAGCAAGGGAGAAAAAAAGATGCGAGATTGTGAGAGCCCGCCCTTCCCCTCCGCCTACGCACCTGATTGGCAGTTCCTCCCCAGCGTCCCTGATTTCCGCCTCTAGGCACCGACCCAGTCTTGAGTGACAGCTACCTTAGCCAATCAGTGACTGAAACAGGCCAGAGTGACAGGTCCAGGCTTTCAGGCTGGGCTTTCTTGCTCTGTTGGGACTTGATCTTGTTTGGCGGGAAACATTTGTATTTAGCCTGGTGTAGAAGGCAACATCTAAAAGAGGAGGACTTAGGAAGGTCAGCGATATCTAGAAGCCGTGCTGTCCACGATTGGGAGCAACTTGAAAATTTTATTAAGGTTTCAAATTACATGACCCTCCTCACCTGTGTTCCTTTCAGTAGATGGCCTGAGCTATGGAAAGCAAGGCCCTGTTTAATTGAAAAGAAATTTGTGTCATGTATTTTTAAATTTTTTGGAAGCCACACAAAAACGTTAAAGAAACAGGTAAAGGGGCTGGGGATGTGGCTCAAGTGGTAGCATGCTTGCCTAGCATGCGTGAAGCACTAGGTTCGATTCTAAACACCGCATAAAAATAAAATGGAGATAATGTGTCCACCTAAAACTAAAAAAAATATATATTTTTTAAAAACCTACAAATTCAAAAAAATTTTTTAAAAAAAAAAATAGTTAAAATAACTCAGGCATAGCTCAGTGGTAGAGTGTTTCTGTAGCAAATGCAAGTCCCTGTGTTCCATCCCCTGCAAAAACACAAGATAATTCAAAAAGTGAGAGAAAGTCACAGATAAAATTGGTTGTGATTTCTTTAGTGCAATATATGTAAAATAACATTGCTTTTCTATGCAATTGATGCAATGAGGTATTACTGTAAGCACATAGCCCACAAATGACGGAGGCTGGAGAAGGGAAGCAAATTTCTTTATTCTGCAGCAAAGTCAATCCATCAGGCCTGGGTGGGTTCATTTTCTAGGTAGAGCAAATGGTCCCCGGGTTACAGAAGGAGTTTGGGTTTTGTAGTTTACAATGAGGGTGAATATTAATTCATTAGAGACTGAGGTTGTGCACTTTGGACAGTCAGGGACCTAGTTATGCAAGTTAAAATTTTATCTCAGGAAGGCAGTTGTAAAAAGTTTAAAACTTCTTGTCACTGGGAAAAGCCCACAACTAGGTGTTCCCTGCTTATCTCTGGGACCCATTTTTACCTAGAGTCTCACTATTTGCTTTTCTCCTTCCAGGAGTCATCTGCAGTGGGAAAGGGTAAAAGTCCAGAACCCAGCATTTCAGTATTTGCCTCCTTCCTTCAGGACCCTTTTGGTTGGTGTTAGGGTAGCTGGCACAAATATCCAGGAGAGACACATCTCTGAGTTCAAGCAAAGCTTTATGGACAGAGAATATCTGCCAGGGGGAGTGTGTTTACAAAAGCAGAGTGCAGGAAGGGAGCCTGTGGCCTCCAAGGAGCCTCTAGCTCTGGGCCCAGAGCCTTCCCTGGGTATTTAAGCTCCAAAGGAAAGAAGTCAGATCCCAGGGAAAGTCCTTTACAATCCAAAGATAAGAGTGAAAGGTGCTAATTAGGTTCCCTGAAAGCCAGCTGGTGGGGACTGTGGAGGGGAGCCTCCCTCTCCCCAACACTAATGTTCACAGTGTCTTTGGGGCATTTTGTATTCAAGCCTGAGTTAGTTACTCACTGTGAGATTACAGGAAGTAGGCCCTGCACCTTTTTCAGGCAAGGTAAAAGTAACCTCAAATGTGAAAAGAAGATCCTGACATTTTTAAAAATTCAAATTCCCTATGGAAGAGGGTTAACTCATTATTATTCAATACCATACAGTGAAATTAAATGTTATCTATGTGCTGCCCCCACTCATCTATCCACTCATTAATTTTAGGTTATTATATTCTCAATACTTCTCTTCCCAGTCAAAAAACCTAAACTGGCTGAGGCTGGAAGAAGTTGCACAGCCCAACCACAGCTTACAGGAGAAGACTGAGTGGGCGGGTGCACAGCAGCACTCCAGGCAAAGCTGCTGGATTGCATCTGCCTCTGAGTGATCAGGCCAATGAACTTCCTCAAGTCCCCCATCCACATCTGCCTGGGCAAAAGGAAGCCTGCCATTGAAGCCATGGCCTCAGGGTATTAAGCAGACCTTCGAAATGGACACTTGCCACAGGGCCACTGTGACAGTAAAGCAAGAGACCAGGGAGGGCACTTTGGGGCTCCCTAGAGCACTCCTATATGTGAATTTTAGCTGACCATGTTCTGTTAACATTTGTGTTTTATCTTATTATTGGCCAGGTCTGAGACCTGTGAGGTCCCAGATTGGGGGTCCCCTCTTCCATAATGCAGGAGTGAGCTGAGTTCCAGGTGAGCCTGAGTGTGCCCTCTAGGCTGCCCCCTCCCCTTGCTTCAGCTGACTTTGACACACCATTTCCAGAGGTCAGGAAGCTAAGAGCCCCCTAAATTTGCAATAGAGGATACCTGAACATGTGGGTGATGTTGGTCACAGTGGCCTAAGCTGGAAACCACTCTTGTCTAAAACCAATGGAAACCACTGACCTTGGGCCTACTGAGCTTTCAACACCTGATGTCTTTGACATTGGAGAATAAGCCTCTGCCTGACAAGGCTAAGGCTGCCATTTTTCTAAACATGTGTCCTATGAAGAACTGAGATGTTTGGCTCCTTGTGACCATCAGTGGCTCCTCTTTCCCTGGCCTATAGTCACCTTTTCCCATTCCTTCAACTACCTACTACTCTATCACACAAGGATCCATAAACCTTGTCCTTGGGAAATGGACATGAGGCTTCCTCCTGCAAGTCTTGGGCTGCTTCATAAATAGACCCCAAATTCTGCCAAGTTTATCTTTGCAGTGACTGGCACCTGCACAAGGGGCACAGTGGGCCTAGCCGAATAGCAGAGGCACTGATTCATGTGGCTTTCATTCTTCTCGGCATCTCTCTGTCTGCTCTGACCTTTGATTGAGGTGGCCATTCAATGTTGTTATGAGAAAATGGCAAGTTTAAATTATTACTGTGAATCTCACCATTTATCTGAAAAGTGGGCAGCACCATTTTAAGTACAAATCTTTATGCTGATCCAACAAGTCACACAACTCACAGTTCACATCTGTAAATGCATAAGCGAAAACTGCTCAAAACTAACTTCATTTGTTTTTATTTCACTTCTCGGTTATTTACTTATGCTGCTGAAGCTCCCATCTGAAGGTTGCTAGCAAGCTGGGCTAAAAGCAGAGGCCACCTTTCCCATTAGCAGCATCATTCTCCCTCCACCCACATCCTCACTTTCAGGAAAGAAATGCTAAGGCAGAGAACAAGGCGAGGAATCACCCTGGGATTCCTAGGTGCTGCTTCTTTCCCACCTTCTGTTCCAGAGCAAGTTAGGTGGGAGTGAGAGTAGATCTTATGACTCAGCCCACTCCAAGGCCAGATGCTCACCTTCTCCTGTTGGCCTTGAGTCTTGCTGAAGTCCCACCCTTGTGGGTTCACCTGAATGCCCTGCTCAGGGGCAAAGTGAATACAGTATGCAAATTGGGCAGCAAGAAAAGTCAGATGTACATGCTCCTTTTTTTCCAATTCCATCAGAATTCACTTAAAAAAAATAAATAAATCTTCAGGGACTAAAATATTAAGAGTTTTAAGATAGCTGGGCTGGGGATGCAGCTCAGTAGTAGAGGCTGGCCTAGCACATGTGAGGCCCTGAGTTCAATCATCAGTATTGCAAAGAAAAGAAAAAAAAAAAGAATTCTAAGATGGCAACAATAGCAATAAATCTAGCACAAGGCCCTACTGAGAAGGTCAAAGGCCCACAAAGATGGTCTGATTCAAGGTTTTTGAGTGGAAGATTTGGATCTCTAGAGTCTCCAGTGCACCATTCAGGGTTTGTGGTCAGTGACTGGATGCATGTAGGAGTCACTCAATTTGAATGCTGAAGTTTGAATTATATAAACAAAGTCTGGGAAAAAAAAGAACTGCCAAGAAGCAAACTTGGAGATTCAGCTGAGATTTCCAAGCAGAATATCAAGTATAACCTCATTCTTTAAATAGTGGCATGATTCTTCATAGGAAAACTGTGAGGAAAGACACACTAAAGGAAGAACTCCTATACAGAAAGAAGCCGCCAGTGGTGATCTAAGAAATTACCAGCACATTCCCTGCTTGTTCACTCTCTGGCTGGGAACTCCAAGGGTTACCTTCACCCATACTTTAGCTGCCTGCCTGCTGATCTAGGACATGACCCAGGTTTCCCAAAGGAGGAGAGGAACAGTGAGAAGGAGAGACTTGTGCCCTGTAGGGACCCAGGTGCCCACTGCTCTCACAGAAATCTCTAGAGAGCAAGAAGGAGATGCTGGCTCACATGATGCATGGGAGGAAGACCAGAATCACTACGACCTCAGGGTCTGCCGCATGGCTGCTGCTGCTGTGCAAACCCCCAAACTCCTCAGGGCTGGGGTGTAGGTGCCTGCATCTGCTGATGGGCTTTCACCTGCTGTGCTCCTCTGGACTGGATCATCTGCTGCTCACAGTTGTGTAAGGTCCCAGCAGCTGCTCCACCTTGGCCTTCCCATGGCCAACCTCTGAACTAACCCATCAGCATCCTGTGTATAGACACTCAGTCTCAGCATGGAGCAGAGATCACCAAGAGTGGAAATCAGTTGGCATGCACAGCCTTTCTTCTTTCAGGCCACTGGGGAAGATGAGAGAGACTTCAGCCAAACAGCCCTGGTCTGGGACTCCAAGGGGATGATTCCACTATGGCCTGGACTCCCTCCTCCTGTGCTCCTCTTGCATTGATAGATAGGGACAGGCCTTAGAGACAGGGACAGCCTTAGCCTGTGTCAGTCCCTCTGCCTCAGACCACCAAGCAGTTTACCCCTGACCTCTGGCCCATCACTCTTGAGTGTCTGTCTGCAGGTCCCTCCCCAGTCTCTGCTGGCCCATCACCCCTAAGGTCTGTAGGTCCATCCCCAATCTCTGTTGGCCCATCATGCCTGAGTGTCTGTCTGCAAGTGTCCCCCCCCCACAAG